TTGCGTGTGCCGTTTCCTCCCACCGAGCACCTGGTCCCTGGCCGGCCGGGCGTACCTTCTGGTTTATTTTACAGCGAAGGTTGAGGACTTTGTGATTGTTGATGTTTTTGAATACTTCTCACTTGATCCTGCTGTGTTTTCTTTTTAAAGTTATGAACTCAAAATGTCCCGTATTTCACACAGGCTCTGTAAATAGATTCCACTTACTGACTCTGTTTTCCCTCCATCTTTTTACTTAATTCGGGAGCTGAAAGGGCTTTAGGATTTGGGCTGACCCTTTGTACTTAGTCTCAGTCAGCGTTTAGTCTGAGGAAACCACAAACCCATTGGAATTTCTGAGTATGGAAAATTTCTAAATAAGGGAATTTACATTTTTTTTTAATTCCCAAGAAATTCAGGGGCACCTGGCTGGCTCAGGTCATGATCTCATGGTTCATGGGTTTGAGCCCCGTGTCGGGCTCTGTGCTGACAGCTCAGAGCCTGGAGCTGCTTCGGATTCTGGGTCTCCCTCTCTCTCTGCCCCAAACCCCCCTCCCGCTCTCAAAAATAAATTTAAAAAATTTCCAAGAAATTCAGATGCATCTCAGCTTGGAGCCATTGGTATACAGGTTATCAATCTCCTACCTTCTTTCCACCAGAAACAAAACAGCGGAAAAGACTCACTTCGGTGTCCTCACCCGCAAAGGGGAGCATGGGAACAGAGGCCCCTCACCAGTTTCACCGAGCATCTTTGATCCCTTCCAAGAATTTCTTGCCTCCGCACCCACCCGTTCCCCAGGTCTTCCTTTCTGGTCAGTGTAGTAAAGACCAGGAAAAGTGGTGGGAAAGTCCGGAACGGAACGCGAACAGATCAGAGCACCGGGCTAGCACTGTCCATTGGCCAAGCCTTCCAGCCCAGGAACGCAGGTGCTGGGCACAGTGCTCTCCGAGTCCTTGCAGAAAGGTCGGACGGTATTGCTTCCAGTATTTATTATTTTAAACAAGTCAGTACCTGCTAATGAAAGGAAATGAGAGATGAGGGCCACCTGGCTGGCTCAGTCCGTAGAGCACGCGACTCTTGATCTCCGGGTGGTGAGTTCAAGCCCTGAAGCCCCACATTGGGCATAGCGAATACTTTAAAAAAAGGAAGAAAGACATGACAGTTCTCACTACCTGAGGATGAAGCATCATTCCTATTTTAATATGTTGGTTTCAAGTCCCTTTTCCATTTATTGTTTTTGTTCCAGGGAATGTAATTGCGACCCTGTGTTTGTCGGGTGAGTTTTCCTGAACGTGGTGGCGTGATTTGTCCCCACACTGTCTCTGTGAGATGTCATTTTTAATGGCCTTGTGTTTCCTTAGGAGCTTTGTTTTTAGCACAAAGTCTGCCGTGAGGGGGGGGAGGTGGTCTCCGTATCAGAACTATCTGGTGAACCTTTAAATAATAGTTTTGGTTGTAAAACGTATCAGGCAGATAGAAACGTCCCTAACGTGTGAGCCTCTGGCCTCACGGACGGTGGAAGGAGCACGCTGAGCAGACGTGTCCTGTAAGCTGCATCCCACGAGGTCACCGACGGCGTCGGACGCCTCCCTTCCCCGTCCGCGGCCGCTGCCCTCACTTGTGAGGCTTCGTTCCCTGCTTTGCCTTGTTGACTCCCTGCCCGGTCACACGCCCCCAGCGGTGGCGCCGAATCTGGGTGGGATGAGGTCTCTGTACGTGGCGTGTTCCGTCTGCCCCTGCTTCTTACCAGCGTGCCCTCGGGGCGCACGGGCGTGGTGTGCTCTCCGGCACAGCCGCACCCCGGTTCCGTCCTGACCTGGTCGCAGACGCTCAGGGCTGTGTCCCGCCCTGTAGACACATGCCCGCACACCGTCTTGCGTGCGTTTCTTGGCGCCCGTGAGCACCGCTTGCCGTGGCCCGTGTGCCTGGGAGGAGAATGGCCAGGTGAGCAGGTGCGTGCGAATACATCTCCTCTCTCAGCGGGTGTTGCCCAGCATCTCCGAAGTGGTTCTGTGCGCCTGCAGCCCCCCGGCAGCGAGGGGAAAGTGCGCTTCGCCTCTTTGTCAGCACTTGGCGCTGTCCGCCTGCACATTTGGCCGGTGTCTCATGACGGTTCTGAATTTTTTTCGTGTTTATTTATTTTGAGAGGGAGAGACAGAGCATGAGCAGAGGAGGGGCAGAGACAGGAAATCCCAAGCAGACTCCACGCTGTCAGCACAGAGCCCCACGTGGGGCTCGATCCCACGGAACTTGAGATCATGACCTGAGCCGAGATCAGGAATCAGAGGCTTAACTAACTGAGCCACCAGGTGCCCCACACAGGATGGTGTTAATTTTCATTTCCCTTTTCACTAATGAAGCTGACTGTACCCCCGTCCCTCTCTACCTGCCATTTAGATTTCTTCTTTTACTTATTGTAGGAAATGCTGTATTTTTTGTTAGGTTGTCTTTTTCTCGCCGCTCGTAGTAATTCTCTGCACGTTCTAGATACGAGCTGTCTGGGGGTCATGTGCTGAGACTCTGCCCATTTGGCGGCTTTGCCTTTTCACTTCCTCACCCGTGTCTTCTGAGGACTGGATGCTCTTGACTTTGATTTGATACAGTCGCCAGTGTGTCCCCGTTACAGCGAGTGTTTTGTGTTTTACCTGGTGATGTTCTCGAGTGGCAGCTTTGGGTCCGAAGCGTCCGTTGTCAGTGGGATGCGAGTCCGGAGGTGGAAGGTGGAACTTGCAGAGACTCACCTGGGCGTCGGGTGCCGCCGACAGGAAGCCGGGAGCTACAGAGTCTCCCTGGGAAGTAGGGCCAGCCTCTCCGAGCGGCGCTTGGAGGAGGTGACGGTGGAGGTCACGGTCTCTGACGACGGACAGGCTCTGCCCCCCCCCCCCCACAGCAGCGGGCTGTGCCCCTTGAGTCTGGGCCCATTTCTGCCCTATCTGTTCAGGGGGCCCTGAGGTCCGGGGGTGCCGTGTGCAGGGCAGGACCCTGAAGACCCAGGTGTGGCCGTGACGGTAGAAGGAGGCACTAACCGGCACTCGTGCGGCTGGAGGCTGCCCTGCGTCCCCTCGCCTTTCTGCGCCGCTGAGGAGACAGCGTCCTGCCCTGGTGTCCTGCTGACCCGTGGGCTCTCGCTTTCCGTTTTCCGCACAGACGGTCTCTGAGTCCTCGGCCCTTCACTCACTGCCTTCAGTTTGCGTTTTTCTCCTCCTCTTTCCCTGTGATCTAGGATTCCTTTGTTGTAATCCGTGGCAGAGGGAGGGGCCCAGGCTCTGCACGTGGGACTTCTCTGTCCACGTGGCTGCGGACCCACCACCTCCCTGTCCCAGGAAGTGTGTGGTGGCCATTGTGCTTTGCAGGGGGGGGGGGGTGTCACACACAACTTCCAGAACCTGATGCAAATTGTGCGGGGTGGGGGGACCCCTCACGGGTCCTGAGCCCTCGGTTAGACCTCCTGCGGCGGTGGTGGGACCCGCGTGGCTTCTCCTCAGTAGGGCGTTTCCCACGAGGGGTCCGTGGAAACACCACGCCGGGCTCCCCTCTGGGCCCCACCCTGTGGGCCTGTAGGGGGCTCCTCTGGTGACCTGTCCTCCGGGTGACACAAAGCCCCAGCACGGCCGAGACCTTCACCCCGGGACCCTGGTCCGCAGGCACAGCGCCCTGCACGGCGCCGGGTTCCGGGCCGCACGCACGCGTCCCCTGAGGGCGAGGGTGGACCGGTTCCGGCGCCTGTTTTCTGCGGGAGGACAGAGCAGCTCTTGTGCTGCTGTTCCTGCGTCACGTGCTGTGCTTCGTCTCCCCACGTGACTCGGGGCAGCCCCTCCCTCCCTCCCTGCCCGTTTGCGCGCGTCGGCCGTCGTCCGGGGCAGGCGCTCTGTCCCCGCCCCCGTGCCCCGCGACGCCTCCCGCGCCCGCCCCGGTCCAGCGTGTCCCCCGCCGGCCCGACTCCGGCCCGCGCGCTCCTGCGCCCCTGCGCCCCCTGGTGCTGCTCACGAGCGCGTCCGTTTACCCCCGCGGGCCAGTCCTGTCCGCCCCCAGGGTGCGGCTCGGATGCGGGCTCTCCACGGAGCGCTTCCCCGAGTCCCGGCCCGTCCCCCCCCCCCCCGAGACCTCCTCCAGCGCCCCCACCTTCCCGTGGAGTTCGGGGACCCTGAGGGGGAGCAGCCTCCCCGCAGCGATTGTCAGAAGGCGTCGGCGCTGTGGCGGCTGGATCGCGGCTTCAGCTCCGGCAGATGACGTCGCAGTGTTTCCCCAGCCGCCTGTGCCGATCGGTGCCCCCACACGGTGTGACGGAGCCCCGCCCGCGCCCTTGGCGTCACCGCCATCCCAGCCTTCGCCGCGCGCTCCCACGCGGGCCGGGGCCTCCCCAGGACCGCCCCCGCCCCCCGCCTCCGGGACAGCTCCGTGCGCCCTTCTCTCTAGAGCCGCGGCCCGCGGGCTGCGCTGCGATTCTTCTGGGTTCCTCCGGCTGGAGCTGAGTCCCCAGGGGGGCCGGGAGTGTCACCATGTCCCACGTGTCCCTGCCGAGAGGGAGTGGCTGAAGGAAGTACGTGTGTCCTCGAGTTAATCGCCTGTCCCTTTCTCTGATAAACGTAATGCCTTTCATATTTTATTAAAACCTCACTCAAATGGCTCTTAAATAGTATAATTTGCCAAGCATGCTTTTGCTTTTATGTCAGAAGTGCCTTTGTGATTGTGGGAAGGAGGAATGAGAAACGAGATGGCCGTAAATCCTGAAATGGAATTTATGATGCACCTGTTTCTTTCATCCCTCCCCCTCCCCGAAGGCACCACGTTCATTATTTTGCAAAATGTTGTCGAAGATGGACTCCCCGTCACTTGGGACGGAGAGAGCCTCCCTGACGTCTGTCTTTGTGAAGTTCACGTTCATTTTGAGCTAACGTCTGTAGGTCAGATGACGTCACTTTAAACCGTAGCCGTGGGGCTGTCGCGAGTGTAAGCTGGGGAGGATTTGTGCGTCTGGCCTGCGCACGTGCGCTGACCGCCGCGCCCTGTGCCGTTGCAGGTACGGCGTGAGCCCTGAGAACATCATCCTGTACGGCCAGAGCATCGGGACCGTCCCCACGGTGGACCTGGCCTCGCGGTACGAGTGCGCGGCCGTCATCCTCCACTCGCCTCTGATGTCCGGCTTGCGCGTGGCTTTCCCGGACACCAGGAAAACGTACTGCTTCGACGCTTTCCCCAGGTGAGCTCGCGCCCGCGCAGCGCCGGGGCATCCGCCGGCCGGCTTCAGACGCCGCCCTGTGCCGTGGGGCCCCGGGAAAGGTTTCCAGGACGCGGCCGGGACTCAGACCCTGCGCCGGGCGCCCGGGAGGTGCGGGGGCCGCGGTGACCCAGCCTCCACCTGAGGCTTGTCCCCTGGGCCGCGCTGCCCTGTGGGGCTCTCCCAGACGGTGCGCAAGGGCCGTGCACGGACTCACGTCCGGGAGTTACTGGCTCAGCTCTAAGGGGCAACATAGAAGGAAACGTGCCCACGAACCCTAAAAATACCCCCCGTTCAGTGTCCACTCGTCCGTGTAGACGGGCACATAGTGTCAGACTGCAGAGGGCTCAGTGCAGTGCGTGATGAGGCCGTTGGTGGTCTCCACGCTCACGTTCAGGCCGCGGGCACCGTCCGTTTGAAGCCCCGCACTCTCAGTCCAGCGTGCAGCTGAGGGAGCGGGGGAGGCGAGCCGCTGAGAGGCCGCTGTCCCGGTGTAAGCACCCTGGGACCCCGCCCCCCTTGTCCTGCTCCCCCCCTTACAGAAACCCGCCTCCCCTGCCCGAGTGCATGGACCAGAGCCCCTGCCTGGGTCCTCCCGGCCGGCTTCCTGGAGGCGGCAGACCTACTGCCCACTCGCCCTGCTGTTTTCCCGGAATCCCGCTAATGGAAGGAAGGGAAACGGGTGACGGCCACGCTCCAGATGCAGACACAGTGAGCCAGTGGCTCCTTGAATAGCTCTGTGTGAAAATTTTACTTGTTTTTATTTTTTAAGTCTGAGTCGAGAAGGGGCGCCTGGCCGGCTCAGTCGGTGGAGCGTGCGACTCATGATCTTGGGGTTGTAAGTTTGAGCCCCACATTGGGTAGAGATTACTTAAAAAAATAAAAAATAAAAAATCTTTTAAAAAAAGAAAATTTGGGCTTGAGGCAAGTATTTTTCCTAAGAATGATTTGCCCCCTGAACGTTTCCCGCCACCCATATTGAAACGGTCTGGGCTGCTTACGGCTGGACTGGCCTTTGTGTAGGAAAAACCCGGTTTTAGGGGTTTGATCGACCCCCTCATGGCCGTCATTCTGCTCTTGCTGGAAGCGAAAGAACCCCACTTGGTTACCTAAATCTCTGTTGCCCAGAGAAGCCCTCTGTTAACACCTTGGGTGAAGTTGAGTTTTGTGCAGCTTGTGCCAGGGTTTATTGAGATGCGACTTCATGAGAAGGCTGAGCTGGCCTCAGATTCCGGGCGGCACAGCTGTGCACGCTAAGGGGGGGCGGCGAGTGTGCAGCTCACGTGCGGCCTGATTGGTGCCGAATCGGTAATGAGCGGGGAGACGTTTGGCGTGTTGGCGGGAGTGATGTCGCCGTGGCAACGGATTGACTCAGTTGCTTCCTGACTCAGATTAGCGTATACCTTAAATACAGCCATGGCAGCAAATTGCAGCTTATTAATTAACAGTAAACTAGCAACTAATCCTTTCAGGGTTGATCTGAGCCACCAAGCACGGGGCTCAACATTTCACCACCCGCCTTCCGTCACTTAACTCTTCGCGAAGGCCTTCAGAAGGTGGTCAGGTCACAAAGTACTCATTTTACAGATCAGGAAACTGAGGCTGAGTGAGGTGAGCGTTTGCTGAGTTGGAACTGGAAGGCCGTTCCTCCTCTTCAGCGCCCTCGGGGATCAGGACAGATTTCAGACCGTGAGCGGTCGTGTTTATATTCTCTTATGGGGCCCGTTGCTACCAAATGGCAGATCTGTCTGCTTAAAGTAAGGTATTTCCCGTTTCCTTTTTATACTAAAAAAAAAAAAAAAAAAGAAGAAAGGAAGAAAAGAACATAGAAGCAGGGACGGCTCGGGCGGTTGAGCGTCTGACTCTTGACTGCAACTCCGGTTATGATCTCCCGGTTCGTGGGTAGGAGCCCCGAGTCGGGCTCTGTGCTCACAGTGTGGATGGAACCTGCTTGGGATTCTCTCTCTCCCTGTCCCACTTGCACTCTCTCTTTCTCAACATAAATAAGAAAACTTAAGAAAAAAAAAAGGGAGTCGTGATCCTCATTTGGTGCGTAGCTTATTTTCCTTGACGTTCAGACTCTGACATCTACCTGGAGACGCACCGACCAGGCTGGGGAGCTTCTCCTGAAATGTGCGTCGTGGAGCGCGGCCCAGGGCCGTCCCGTCAGGAGATGCCTTTCTAACTGAAGTAACTGGACTCCCAGATCCTCAGAAGAAGACGTCTTGTTAAAATTAAACAGGACGAGAATGGATTGGTCGTGCGAGATTGCAGGCTGCTGCCTGTGGCCCCGACCACGGCCGAGCCCGGCCGGTGGGGATTCGCGTCTCCCTGGCACGTCCCAGTCTCTGACACACGTTTTGTGCGGTGGTCTGGAGGGCTGTCGCCTGCACCGGCTCCAGCCTGCGGGAGCAGTGCCTCCTGGGCTTAGCGCCCCCTTGGTGACGCGGAGGTGGGCTTTCCGTCTCCTCATGTCCTGGCGGAGAGCGAGTGAGGTGCTGCATGGAGTGGGGGAAGCGCCTGGCCGTGGAGGAGGCTTCATCTTTCAGCAGCGGGGTCCCTGCAGGCACTGATGCTGTGTCCCCTCCGTAGCTGCGGCTGGGGCCAAACAGAAGGGTCACTGGCGGGGGCCGTGGGGGGCACCCAGCAGGATCCGCATCTCTGGCCTCATCCGTAGGTTACACGGGGGTCCCTCCGTGGGCGAAGCCGCCCGCCCAGCCTGCCAGCAAGGCTTAAGGTCTTGAGTTCTTCTTCGGGAGATGTTTTCAGAGCCTGCAGCACTTTCCTTTGAAGATCCTCGAATATTCCTCCTTTGAGGGTAGATTTGATTCTTGTAAACAGTCCGAAATCACTCGGACCCAAAGCTGGGTGCTGCAAGCTAAGCAGCACAGTGTTTATAAAAAACGAGGCATCAGCATTTAGGAAATGAGGCTCGTGGGGAATCGTTCATCGATTCCGAATCCGTCTGGCCAGCAAGACGCAAGCCCTGGGCCGTGTGGATTAGGCATTCAGCTTTCCGAAGAGACGCGCCGTCGGACGTGCTGAGTTCTAGCCTGTTTATTATTTTAAAGAAATCTTCTCTCAAAAACATGAGCGTGTCAGAAATATTAGTTACTGGATTGTTAGCCTGGAGGCTTTTCCGAGTTCTGTTTTTAATGAAATACTTGAATGAAAACACGACGACCAGATGCCGTGTGGGCATTTGCCCGGATCCTGGAACAGAACAAGGGCATTCAGGGAAAAACCAACAGAGATCCAAGCAAGGTCTGGAGTTGAGGTCACGGGGGCATGCTGACATTGGTTTCTTGGTTTTGACCAGTAGACGGGGACAGCGGACGGTGTGAGGCTCACGGGGGGCGGCGGGGAGCACATGGGAACTCTGTTAGATTTGCACCTTTTCTGGAAAAACAAAATTATCCCCAAATGAGAAGTTTAAGTTAGTTTTCTTTTAAGTTTATTTATTTTGAGAAAGAAAAAGCAGGGGAGGGGCAGACAGAGAAAGAAAGAGAGAATCCCAAACAGGCTCCGTGGTGTCAGCACAGAGCCCAACTCAGGACTCGAACTCATAAACCATGAGATCATGACCTGAGCTGAATCCAAGAGTCGGACGCCCACCTGACTGAACCACTCAGGCGCCCCTGAAAAGTTTACTGGAAAAAAAAATACTGGGAAGCTACTGCCTCCCTCCCCCGTGGATGCCGACTGGGCCACGCGGGTGCGGCGCGCGTTATCCAAGGCGTCACTAACAGCCCTGTCTCCCCCCGCCCCGTTCTGTGTTGCAGCATTGACAAGATCGCCAAAGTGACCTCTCCCGTGCTGGTCATCCACGGCACAGAGGATGAGGTCATCGACTTCTCGCACGGCCTGGCCATGTACGAGCGCTGCCCCCGAGCCGTGGAGCCCCTCTGGGTGGAAGGGGCTGGGCACAATGACATAGAACTTTACGCACAATACCTGGACAGACTAAAACAGTTCATATCTCACGAACTGCCTAACTCCTGAAGAAGACGCCTCGATTGTACCTCATTTACTGTGAACGCAGGAGTCCTCTGTTCCACACGTGCTTGAACTGGGTGGCGGTGACGGCCTGACAGCGGGGGGTGGGGGGTGGGGGGGAGGGGGGCAGCGCCCGCCGTGTGGCGTTCCCGTCAAAGAGCTGAGGAAGTCCCAGCCTTCTGTATGCAGAGGTGGCTCTTCTCGTACACACAGCACGTGAAACCGAGCGGCTTGGGCGCCAGCAGGGAGGGGGCGGGGGGCTGGGGGCGGGACGGCCTCTTTCCCGTGCTGCGTGGAGGACCCTCCCGCCTGCTGCCTGCTGTCCCCGCCGGTCACCACCTACCCACGCAGGACCCTGTCCTTCCTCCACCGATGTTCTCAGTATTTGACCCGCAGGCCTCTTTCGGCCACTGGATGCGTGGGTTCCATCCGTTTGTGAAGCTGTGACAGAACATAAGCAGAAAACTCGGGTGAGGAGAATTCCTTTAAGTTCCGTTCCCAGGCTGGTGTCTCTCCCCCCAAACTCATCAGTCCGAGGGTGACTTAGTGCAGCTCATTCCCTGGACCCACGTAACGTAACTGGAATATTCTTAATCAAAAGAAAACTGGGTTTTTTTTTAAGTGTAAATTTATTACTCGCCAACAGAGTTTTAATATTTTGACTGTCTGGTGGGTCTATCAGAGCCCGGCCGCCTCTCCTTCTGTAAAGCCCCCCCACCCCCCGCAGGGCTCTTTTAAAGTACTGTACATACTTGGAATTGCATTGTGCATAGATTCTTAATGGGTAGTTTTCTTTCGTCAGACTACAAACTGCAGATCCCTCGTTTGTAATGTAAATGATTGAATACATTTTGTTAATATGTTTTTATTCCTATGTTTTGCTATTAAGAAATTTTATAACATTTCCAAGACAAAAAAAAAAAAGAATTACAAGTTTATGCTTTGAAGACTTTATGTAATTAAAATTTCACTGAACTAATCTTTTTAGTTTAGGACTTACCTGGGTTTTGACACTGGACTTGCACCGAGGAAGCATCGGAAATGGAAGATGCTTCAGCATTGCTACACTGCTCATCTTGGTTGGGGGTTGGGGTTTGGGGGTTCCTGGGTTTTCTTTTCTTTTTTCTTTTCAAATTTAAAAGCCTTAAATGTACTGTAAGCCTCAGACCGCCGCACAGCTGGGCTGCGGATGGTTGCCGGTCTGTTAGCGCTGCGTGGGCGCAGCACGCCGGTGGGTCACGGAATAAAGGATGCATGGATCAGAACACGTGGTCGCTTCTTCCTCTCCGCGTCGGCGAAGGGCGCGAGTGGGAAAACGCTTCAGGCTGGTTCAAGGAGAAACCCTCCGGGCTTTCTCATTTCACTGCCCGGGCGGAGTCCGCGGCGGGTCCGGGCACGAAGCCCATGAGGAAGGCACCACGGCCGGGGGGCGGGGGGGGATCCTGAGTCATGGGTGTCCCTCGGTCGTTCCAGCCCTCTGACCACCGACCCGAAGCAGCACGTGAGCGGTGCGGTCCGCGGCCCTGGGAGCGGCCCTCCCCAGCACGCCCAGACCGGGAGCGTGGGCACGATGGAACGGGGAGGGGACGGGGCGTGCGCACATGACCGTGTTCCCGCACAGGGAGGCTGCTTCCTCGTCTTGGGTCCCGGCCTGGAAGGGGAGCCTTGATGTGGCTTGTTTGTATCCACTTGAGGTAGCTTGTGTTTTCTGACTCCTGACTCCTTTCCCAAAACCAAGGAGGGAGTTTTGCCAGAGTTCAGCGTGGGGCCGGCCTTCCACCGAGGATGGGGTGTGTGGTTACCGTGGGAACCCGGGAGGGAGGCCCCATTCACAGCAGTACCGGAAGCAAAACACACCTAGCAACGGGCCCAGAAGGTCTGGTCACTGGTGTTTTCCGCTGTAAGACGGATTTGGGATGCGGACCACGTCTCCCAGTAGAAAAAAGCTAACGTTGCTGAGTAACAGGGAAAAAGATCTTCCGAAGCGGACGTGTGACGTGGCAGGGAAGTGAAGACCACGTGGGCGGTGTGCCAGGTGAAGACAGAGAGGGAAGCGGAGCGCTGGCCGCAGTTCTGTCTCGGGTGGAATTCGCTGGACCGGATTAGCCTACGCCTTGGCTTTCCAGTCAGGTAGAGCTCGGGGGACGGGAAGGAAGGCCCAGAGCACCCTCCACGGGGCGAGACTAATCGGTAAAACCACATGATCCTTTAGTAGACACGGCCAAAGCATTCGATCGATTTCAACGTCCGACTCCTGCTTAAAACCCGAGCAAAACTCTTACCATCCTAAGACTAGAAGGGAACGTACACAGAGGGTCTCCCAACACAGACACAACAGGCCTTTTACTGAGCAGTGAAACAACAGAAGCATTATCTCTCTTTAGACTGCGAGTTGGCCATGGAGCCACTGCCCTCACTTCTGCTCAGAATTACAGAAAAGACCCTAGTGAAAGAGAGAGGGAGGGAGAGGGAGAAAGACAGGTAGGAAGGGAGAAAGAAAAAAAGAAAAAGGGAATGAAAGAAAGGGAAGGAAGGAAAGAAAAGAAGGAAGGAAGAGAGAAGAAAAGAATAGGAAAGCAGGGAGGGAGGGAAAGAAGGAATGAAAAACATGGCAAAAAAAGAGATGACTATGCTCTAAAGCCAGACTATTGTGAGGGTTACACAACTCACTGAACTTAACAAAAAAAACAATCCAAAAGTGCTCTTAAGAAGCGTAGGTTTTATAAAATGCAGATTATACCTTAATAGAAATTTTAAAAAGAAATAGCAAATAAATAAGACTATTATTCTTGGGTTTATATTAAGGACCTGAGAATAATCTAACAGATGATGTACAAGACACATCCTGGAGAAAATTATAAAACTCTTTTTTAAAAAGACATTAAAACAAGGGGCACCTGGGTGGCTCCATTGGTTAAGCGACTGAGTCTTGATTTCAGCTCATGTCACGATCTCAAGGTTCATGTGTTCAAGCCTCACACTAGGTTCGCACTGAAAGTGCAGAGCTTGCTTGGGATTCTCTCTCTCCCCCCACCTCTTTCTCTAAAAATAAGTAAAAGAAACTTTTAAAAATTTTTAAATTTTCTAAACTATTTTTCAATGTTTTATTTATTTCTGAGAGAGAGAGAGAGAGAGAGAGACATAGTACGAGCAGGGGAGGGGCAGAGAGAGAGGGAGACACTGAATCTGTAGTTTGCTCCAGGCTCTGAGCTGTCAGCACAGAGCCCGACGTGGGGCTCGAACCCACGAACCGTGAGATCATGACCTGAGCCGAAGTCGGACGCTTAACCGACTGAGCCACCCAGGCGCCCCCCAAATTTTTTTTTTTAAAAAGACAGTAAAGAAGAACTAAATTAATGAGAGCTATACTATGTCTATGGATAAGAAGGCTCATTTTTAGTTCTTCCAAAATAGAGCTGTGGGGCTAATAGGACCCCAGTACAGATCCCAACAGGGTTCTCTGTGCAGCCTGACGGGGTGACCCTGCATCTGTCCGCGAGAACTAAGGGCCGAGAACAGCCGGGGCACATGGAAATGAAAACGGTCGAGAAACATGTTTTCCCAGATACGAAGAACTGCAGGTGAGAAATCTCAAGACAGAAGCCTCAGGGCGTCTAGATTCTGGGGTCTAGAAAGCCCTTCCGGGCCCCCAGCTCTGGGCTCAGCGCCACTTCTGTATTCTGTACTTGCCCGACGTCACTGTTACTATTCACAAAGGAATACATGTCTAGATTTGACTTATTTAAAAATCTAAAGCTTTCACAGTAAAAATAAATAGCATGATCTAGTGACAAAGGGGAGGAATGTTCTAAAACATGGCAGATAATGGAAAGATACATGTAATAGTCAAAGAATGAGGCACCCTGTGGGCACAGGAAGTGAAGAGATGTAAGTAAGAGGTCCTCCGTCTGTAACAACCACATGTAGATTCAATCAAAGTAGCGAATGAATATATCAAATAAATACACATTACAGTAATGAAATGGCATGTGAAACTGCAAAGTTGGTATCAATATTTGAAGAGGTATTTGAAGACATTATTGCCGATAAATACAGATTTTATCAACTTAAGTAGATTTGAATAGTAGAATGCCATCCTAAGTTGTTAAGTTGGTGTAAATACTTGAATTGGAATGCCCATTGGTGGTGAGGCTGTGGATAAACGGGTACTTTAAAATTATACCGCGGGGCGCTGGGCTGGCTCAGTCAGTAGAGTGTGCGACTCTCGATCTCAGGGTCGTGAGCTCAAGCCCCATGTTGGGGGCGGTGGGCTTTAATAAATAAATAAATAATTTTAAAAATCTTTAAAATTATACGTTTATTCTGCCCACCAAATTAGTGCAAACGTTCTAAAGTATACTTTGAACCAAAAGTCGAATCTAGCCGTTTCGCTTCTCGGAATTTACCCCTGGGAGATAACGGAAAGGATGAGCCGGGCTTGTGGGCTAATTGCTGCTCCTCTGGGAGCGCCGACTGGCCAACAGTCTGCGTGTCCGTCCGGCACGGAGAGAGTCAGTTGTCGCCATGTTCGTGCAGTGCGCTACTCTGCAACAGTCCTAAAGGATGCTGCAGCGTAATGTTAGTGAGAGACAGCGTTTTCAGTGCTCTGCGACGGAAGTGGCCGCCATGTAGGTCCTGTGGTGTGGCCTTTCCCCGCCGCCCCTCACACCCGGACGGGGACGAAGAGCTGGGTACGCGCCTGGGCGCCTGCAGAGTATGTCTGTGGTGCTGGGTTTCGATGTGTTTCAGTCGCTCTCTGTGCGGAGGAGAGCCCCAGCCCAGCCTCTGGGGCTCGGGTGAAGTGCTTGTTCTGGGACCCGTTGGGTGGCACCGTGGCACTCCCAAGAAAAGGCCGCTTTGACTGGCGAGGACAAGCCACCCTGGGGAGATCTTCTCCCCTCCTGTGGCAAGTGCGCCCCATGACACCGCTTCCCAGAAGCCTCGCCCACCAGGATTTCCTCAAAGAGGACCGCGGTTCCTCAAGCGGCGCTCCCCCAGCTGCGTGGCTCACCCGCCGGGGAAATACATGCAACGTGAAACTCACACTTTTAACCACTTGTAAGTGTAGCTTCGGTGGCGTGAGGTGCATTCGCGCTGTGCGGCCACAGGACTGTTTCATCTCCCAAACCGAGACGCTGTGTCCGCTCCCACTAACTCCCCACTCCGCCCCCTCCCCCCCCCCGGGCCAAATCCCGTCACACACCAGGACCTAAGTATTTGTCCCTCGTGCCCAGCTTAACGCACCTCCGGCTAAGGCGCCAGGGCTCCTCGGTGCTGCAACGCTCGCTGCTGCTCAGGGCCGGTCGGCGCACCACTGCATGTGTGTATACGCCCCTCCGCCCTCTCCTTCGCGGTCCGCTGGCGGGCGCTGGGGCTGTTCCCACGCCTCGGCTGCTATGAGCATGGGTGTGCAAGTGTGTTTCAGTCCCTGCTTTCCATGTGTGCCCAGAAAGGGAATTGCTGGGTTGCGTGTGATTCTTTTAATATTTGGAGGAAACGCCATACTTGATCTGCAATTCTTTTTTTTTCCTTTTAACATTTATTTATCTTTAAGAGACAGAGCACAAGTGGGGGGAGGGGCCGAGAGAGAGGGAGACACAGGATCCAAAGCGGCTCCAGGCTCTGAGCTGTCAGCACAGAGCCCGACACGGGGCTCGAACCCACAAACTGTGAGATCATGACCTAAGCTGGAGTTGGTGCTGAACCGACTGAGCCCCCAGGCGCCCCTTGACCTGCAGTTCATAACAGGAATCTTGGGGTCCGTGATTCCTTGGAAACTGCGTGGCATGCTTCAGAAGCCTGTCTTGGGGCACATTTTCTGGAGAGAAGGTCCACAGTTTCAGCAGATTCTCCGAGGTCTCAGTGATTCTAGAAGACTAAGAACAATGAGCTCAGTAGGATCCGCATTTTATTTATTTATTTATTTATTTATTTTTAAATGTTTTATTTCTAGGAGAGAGAGAGAGACAGCGTGAGCAGGGGAGGGTCAGAGAGAGAGGGAGTCACGGACTGAAACAGGCTCCAGGCTCTGAGCTGGCTGTCAGCACAGAGCCCGACGCGGGGCTCGAACCCACGAACCGCGAGATCATGACCTGAGCGAAAGTCGGATGCTTAACCGACTAAGCCACCCAGGCGCCCCAGGATCTGCATTTTAAAACCAGTATTTTCTGGCGCCCGGGGGGCTCAGCCAGTTAAGCGGCCGACTCCCGACTCCGGCTCAGGTCACGATCTCAGGGTTTGTGGGTTCGAGCCCCGCATCAGGCTC